GCGCTTTTTCGGAGACGGCGACGCGGGGGGGGGGATGAGAATGAGCGGAAAAGCATCCAATTATCATGCCCGATGCCGGGGCTTCTCACCCTGCACAAGCTCGGTACCAGAATCGACTGGAATCCGGTCGGGAAGCCGGGCCCGGTAGACGTCGAACGAGTGGGATTATTCCGCGTCCGGGTTCTGGGCCGGGGGCCGAGCGGGGGCAGGCCGAGGGAACAATGTCGGAAACGACGGGGACGGTATGCCGAGATATGCAGGATATCGCGCAGAACTGCGATCCTTCGAAATCTGAGCGAGAGAGCTATGAGGATACAGCAGTGGCGCAAGTATAGTGAACTAGATATGTACGCTCCGCGGCCATGTAGCTGAGAGAGAGAGAAAGAGAGAGAGAGGAAAGAGAGAATACGTCTCTCTAAGTGTATTAACTCTCCGAAGCAAGAAGAGAGAGAGAGAGAGAGATTTCGCTCGCCGCGCGAGAGAGCACTACCTAAATATGTAATAATATCTACGGGAGATACCGGCATTCCCCGACCTCGAGAAGAATTCGATCAAAATGTGTCGCGATACTCTCCCGGTATGCCAGGTGAGGTACGCGTTCACCTTCCTATCTCCTCGTCCTCCTCCTTCAGCAGCTTCCTACCGCTTCTCGCCCCTTTCGACCCTTTCGCACCCGCCCTGCTCCGTCGCATCTCCCCCGCGTTTTCTCTCTTCCGTCGCTGCTTTGTCCTCGTTTATACAGGATCGGATACAATAAACGCGTCGTACGCATCCCTGCGCGTTCAAACTTGTTCAAGTCTGTTCAATCCCTATGTGAAATCTCAATCGAAGAAGCGTAGAGTGAAATCTTAGAGACTCTCATTGCGATTTCTTTTATGTATCATTTTTTTTTTTAAGTATGGGCTCAATTCTTAAAATAAAAATTTGATTAGGCGCTTAGATTGTAGATTAGATTATTACTTTTTGCAATTTTTGAATCTTGAATTTTGACTATCTTTGAAATTGATTTTCAAGTTATTTTATGATTTTTTCCGCAAAATTTTTTTTAAATCTATCTAGATTTCTGCGGAAAACTATATAAAAATAAAAAAATTCTTACCAAAAATAATCTATTACACATAATCGTTATAAAAAAATATCCCTAGAATTTATATATAAAGAAATAAAAAATTATGTAATAGATCTATTGCACTTTATATTGTGATACTTA